TTTTTCCTATATTTCTCTATGGCTTCAAGAAAGAAATGATATATCTAACAGTATGGGTTGAATTACTAATTTATAAAGAATGAGAGGAAAATGTTTTATTCATGCCATATAACTGAGGTTAGCAATTGCTTTTTCTACTAAGTTGAGACTGCAATGCAGAATTCACTTTGTCTAATTAAATACATTAAATGACCAGAAAAAAATCAATGTATTTTGAAAACTCACACAGATAAACAAAAAACCATTCCTCTCTTTAGTATCTTTATTTTCATCAGCGAATTGGTTTTCTAAACCTTTATGTCTTCTAGATGTCCATTTGTCCAACCAATTCTGTTAATTATTTTCCAACCCAACCTCTAGTTATTAACAAAACTATGCTTCAAAGTACATCATCATAGTTTTATATCCATATGTGAAGTGTTAAGGATATTCTGTAAGAACTCAAAAGGACCACAAATTGATATAATAATGGATTGAAAGGTAATTTCAGAGAAGCATAAGCTTCATTCTGAAGTGTCTTTGTTTAAAAATCCATCTAATATAGAATGGTAGTTCCTGGCCTATGCCATTTTGATGCAAAAGTTGTTGATTAATAAGTCTCAATGACTCAACTATGCATTTGGTTTCAAACTTTGCTTTTAGTACTCAGAGGGTATCTCCAGGCAAATTTTCAGTTCATTATCTGTTCAAAAGACTGCCCTATTGTACCTTCTGAAGCCATAGTAAATATATTTCCATCTGGTCTCATCATCTTTGGTGTCTGACATTTTGTAACAGAGAGTTTTGAAATCATATTTTATGGCACTGAAGCTGCCAGGGGAAATTTATTGACTTAACAATCCCATTCAACATTTCCCGTCATGTGGAACTGTCCCTAGGACAAGGCAGATTAGTGAATGTGAGCTGCTTCAATTTGGCTCAACTGTCAGGCTTAAGTATTTTCCATTACATGGATGGTTGAGATCAACTGAGTTTGGAATCATTCAATTTATTCTGTGGCATCAGTGAAGGAGAACATAATAGTGACCAGAACTGAATACACTTGAGTACACTCCGTCCTGTTAAGTTCTGATGATGTAGCCACACTGAAATCATAAGTTGTTACTACTCAATTTATTGTTTAAGGAGCTCTCAGCATCTACACTTGTGAGCTGTCTTTTGTATCTGCCTCCATTGTAGATTCTGGCCACAATGAGATAGTGGTTACAGCTCCATGTAGAGGCCAATTGATAGCATAATTGATAGCAAAAATATGCAATTTTTCCTCTCCTGCAAAGTCAATGAATAAAACCAGGGAAAGTATGGAATTCACTTTTAAGTACTCTGTTAGACTTCTTTGAATTTTGACAGTCCACTGATACGGAAGTTAGGATACACACAAGAATAAATTGATTGAAAGAAAATATAAATAAGTCTATATCTGTGGCACCAAAATACTTAACAAAAGAACTAAAATTGTGCACTAATTATCTGAAAATACAAAGGTTTATGGTGTGTATAAATAGAGCTTTAAACTTGCTATATAGTCAGGAAAAGCAGTGAAAAGAATTGGCAACTTCTTTTAATGAAAATAATTTCCCACACCTGAAAATGGAATTTATCATTCCAGAGGACAGTAAATTGTGATACTGTATAGGAAGATTAAACTTGACATTCTACAAAGAATCTTGTTCAAGGTAAAATGCATAAATTTGAAATTATACTATTAAAAAAGAATATAACTTTTACTTTACAACATTAGATCATATTTAAAGAATATATTGCATGGATAATATGTGAAATTTATTTTGTGCCAGCATTTTATCATATAACAATAGATAACTTTTATAAATTTTTATAATAATCCCTTATTGTCTACAATGTCACATTAAGCCTCTAAATGATTAGTATCATTAGATATTTAATGACTGCTTTTACTGATGATGGAAATATGCTTTCCTAACAGGAATTTCCATTTCTTTTATGTGCAAATTTAGTGAACACAACCTTATATATCAATAGGATTTTTCTAAATTGAGGGCTTTTTTTTTTTCTGTAAAATGGAAAAACTTGCCTTTAATTATCATTTTCAATGATATTAGTGCCTTCTAAAAATGTTTAACTTACTGAAACCTTATCAGTCTTCACAAAGTATATACAAATAAGCAGAAAATATTATCATCTTCATTTTATAAATAAAAACTATAGCTAAGCATGAGAAAGTATTTATAATGAACTTTTTCAATACTTTGAGCCTGCTCACATTTTTAGATTTTAAGTAACCCAGATTTTAAAATTTGAAGGGTCCTTAAAAACTCCATCAGAATGCCTCATTGTATGAATTAAACACTGGAACGGGGCCAGATGAAATACCTTGCTCAGTGTCACAGAGTAAGATGAGATATTTCTTATGTTTCTCAAATATGAAAAGGATTTCTGTTTCCAAGAATTGGTTAGTTATCATTGTCAACTAACGTTTAAAGAGTACAGCACTTTATGTTCCTTTGTAAGTCTATTCTATTATAGATTACCAAATGTGGTGGTGATCTTGTGTTTCCCAGTTATATCCACAAAGGTTTCTGGACTGTTTGCATTGCTTAAGCATGTAATAAAGTTTGAGATATAAAATATATAACCTATGCCTAGTTGTTGCATTGGAAGAAGACAAATAAAGATGCAAGGTTTCTCTTTGAGATAATTTATGAAATTTTATACTGCCTAAATGTGTATCTTCATATATTCCCCCAATATCTTACAAAGCATCATCAACAACCTTCCATTATACATTCTCCAACAATAGACTACATAAGGGGAATCTACCTTTTTAATACATAAACAAACAAACAAAAAAATACCTTAAAATAACTTAACCTCCTATTCCCTACCTAGTACCACTCAATCTAAGGAATCATACCATCTCTACTAAGTTAATAGGAATTCAAACAATAGATCTTTTGTCAAATGTACTAATATACCAAACCTAAAAAATTATGTCACTTCAAAAGGAAGTGGTATTTTAGTAACAAGAATGCAACATCTATATAACATGAAGGCTCTGTGATGTCCTCATAGAAAGTAATGTCTTCATCCCCAAAATAATACCAGCATTAGGTAGAAAAATTTTAGACAAAAGCCTTTAAATACTTCCAAATATCATCCTGGAAATATTTAAGAATTTTTATTATGCAGAAAATGGAGCTCTTTTTAAATTACTAAGGTTATTCCAATCACATTTTCTTGCACACGCTCTATTCATTAGGGCATCTCTGTATTTTGTACAGTTATTTATCCAAATATCAAAGACTTTTCCATGTGTACACTCACCTGCTCAGAAAAGAAGTCACTGTTATCCTCCAGGTATTTACTGAAAGGGTTGGGTTCATAGGCTTCCTCCTCTTTTTTCAGTAATATTTTGGATTTTACCGGTACGGGGCGAATTACTCCAGGCTTTGTCTTCATGAATGTCAATTATTTTTTAGAAATAAAGAAAAGAATACTATTAAAATGAATGCCTAAGTGTATTAATTCATTCAAACGTTCTCACAGTAATTTATATTTTGTAATTTTAAATGAATTTATAAATACATAAATAGCAAGAAATCAAAAGATTTTAACTAAAGTAGCTTTAGTTTTAAGTGACCTGTTATACAGTAATCAATTAAAAAAGATCTACTATATGATGTTCAAAATGCCAAAACATCTTCATCTGTCTAGTCAAATATCTTTACCAGCACTTTCAGCCAATAAGTACTTCATTTGATAAATACTTAGTGACGGCATCCTCAGTGCCAGGCAGCATACTCATTTGGGGCATGACAGGAGAGATGAATTTGGTACAATTCACCAAGCTCATAACAACTTTCTTCCTCTGGAAACTGCCCCCGCCCCCGGGGCCCTAAAATCACAGAATCCATGTTCAGACTCCCTATAATGAAACCAGCGGTGGCGTTCTGACCCAAGAGGGTAGGGGCCAGGTAGCAAACAGATGTTTTCTCCCAAGAATATGATGCAGGGCTTTAATCTGCTCTGTAGTCATGCTAGGAGATTGAAATGACACTGTGTAAATTTGGGAGCTTTGGGAACGCCTTACTCTGCCATAAAAGCAGATCTGATGAGATCAAGAAAAATACAGCAAAGTATAGGGAGAGGCAGACGGTAGAGGAGACACACTTAAGGGCCTTCCAGAATTGAATTCCAAAACATTCCTGGAACCAAGCAGGATTTCCGGTCTGAGACTCCCTGAGACTTTCCTTTTCTTTAATACAAAATTCCCTTTTTAAACTCAGACTGACTTCTATAACTTGCAATCAAAAGTCTGAGTGAATAGGCCAGTCGTTCAAATTCATGAATTTGTACCCAACGTCAGTTTGACAAGAGAGGGAAAGGGAGAAATCTAGTTTGGGGCAATTTCAAAATGATGTTTCACAAACACAAAAGTCTTGTTACACTGTAAAATGTCACAAAATGATGGATAAGTTTACAGAAACATCCCAAACAAGAATTCAGTAAAAAGTTGTGACATTTTTTTCTGTGTGAGCACTTCGCTATTATCATTCTTATCAAGTCCATTTCTTCTCAGAAAATAGAAAATTAGCTCCCCTCAGTCCGTGCTGATGCTCACTAGCTAAGCCTTAAGGAAGATAGAGTTGAATCTCTATCTCGCTGCCGTATAAGCCATTGGTTATGTTTTGAGCCTTGAATAAGTACCACTCTACAACAATTTTTTTCAGTTCATATTTTCCCAGCTGACTTTATTTCTATGCCAACTGGGGAAATAAAGATAGAGGAAAGTCTCCATCTTCTGCAGGCTAGGCTGGGAAATAACTCCCATTTAAGAAACTGATTTCTTTCCAGAGGGGAAAAGTAAGCAAGTATTACGTTGGTGCAAAAGTAACTGCGATTTTGCATTACTGAACTTTGCTGTTTGATATGGGAATGCATTCTCAAATAAATGTGGTTATGTTACACATCATTTTAATGTGCATTTCTTGCTTTATGTTTTTTGCTGAGTGTACACTCACCTGCTCAGAAAAGAAGTCACTGTTATCCTCCAGGTATTTACTGAAAGGGTTGGGTTCATAGGCTTCCTCCTCTTTTTTCAGTAATATTTTGGATTTTACCGGTACGGGGCGAATTACTCCAGGCTTTGTCTTCATGAATGTCAATTATTTTTTAGAAATAAAGAAAAGAATACTATTAAAATGAATGCCTAAGTGTATTAATTCATTCAAACGTTCTCACAGTAATTTATATTTTGTAATTTTAAATGAATTTATAAATACATAAATAGCAAGAAATCAAAAGATTTTAACTAAAGTAGCTTTAGTTTTAAGTGACCTGTTATACAGTAATCAATTAAAAAAGATCTACTATATGATGTTCAAAATGCCAAAACATCTTCATCTGTCTAGTCAAATATCTTTACCAGCACTTTCAGCCAATAAGTACTTCATTTGATAAATACTTAGTGACGGCATCCTCAGTGCCAGGCAGCATACTCATTTGGAAATTTTGGTACAATTCACCAAGCTCATAACAACTTTCTTCCTCTGGAAACTGCCCCCGCCCCCGGGGCCCTAAAATCACAGAATCCATGTTCAGACTCCCTATAATGAAACCAGCGGTGGCGTTCTGACCCAAGAGGGTAGGGGCCAGGTAGCAAACAGATGTTTTCTCCCAAGAATATGATGCAGGGCTTTAATCTGCTCTGTAGTCATGCTAGGAGATTGAAATGACACTGTGTAAATTTGGGAGCTTTGGGAACGCCTTACTCTGCCATAAAAGCAGATCTGATGAGATCAAGAAAAATACAGCAAAGTCTAGGGAGAGGCAGACGGTAGAGGAGACACACTTAAGGGCCTTCCAGAATTGAATTCCAAAACATTCCTGGAACCAAGCAGGATTTCCGGTCTGAGACTCCCTGAGACTTCCCTTTTCTTTAATACAAAATTCCCTTTTTAAACTCAGGCTGACTTCTATAACTTGCAATCAAAAGTCTGAGTGAATAGGCCAGTCGTTCAAATTCATGAATTTGTACCCAACGTCAGTTTGACAAGAGAGGGAAAGGGAGAAATCTAGTTTGGGGCAATTTCAAAATGATGTTTCACAAACACAAAAGTCTTGTTACACTGTAAAATGTCACAAAATGATGGATAAGTTTACAGAAACATCCCAAACAAGAATTCAGTAAAAAGTTGTGACATTTTTTTCTGTGTGAGCACTTCGCTATTATCATTCTTATCAAGTCCATTTCTTCTCAGAAAATAGAAAATTAGCTCCCCTCAGTCCGTGCTGATGCTCACTAGCTAAGCCTTAAGGAAGATAGAGTTGAATCTCTATCTCGCTGCCGTATAAGCCATTGGTTATGTTTTGAGCCTTGAATAAGTACCACTCTACAACAATTTTTTTCAGTTCATATTTTCCCAGCTGACTTTATTTCTATGCCAACTGGGGAAATAAAGATAGAGGAAAGTCTCCATCTTCTGCAGGCTAGGCTGGGAAATAACTCCCATTTAAGAAACTGATTTCTTTCCAGAGGGGAAAAGTAAGCAAGTATTACGTTGGTGCAAAAGTAACTGCGATTTTGCATTACTGAACTTTGCTGTTTGATATGGGAATGCATTCTCAAATAAATGTGGTTATGTTACACATCATTTTAATGTGCATTTCTTGCTTTATGTTTTTTGCTGATGACTTACTACTTGCTGTGTATTTTATATTTATTTTAGACTAGGGAAATGATTTTAGACCAAAAGCAAATTTGAGCAATTTTATTACTCAAGTTCAAGATGGGTTGTAAAGCTGCGAAGACAGCGCACAGCATCAACAATACATTTTGCCCAGGAATTGCTAACGAACATACAGTGCGGTGGTGGCTCAGGAAGTTTTGCAAAGGAGATGAGAGGCTTGAAGGTTAGGAGTGCAGTGGCCGGCTATCGGAAGTTGACAGAGACTAACTCAGAGCCGTCATTGAAGCTGATCATCTTACAACTACATGAGAAGCTGCTGAAGAACTCAGTGTTGACCATTCTATGGTCATTTGGCATGTGAAGCAAATTAGAAAGGTGTGAAGGCGTGATAAGTGGGTGCCTCGTGAGCTGACTGCAAATCAAAAAGATCATCATCGTTAAGTGTTATCTTCTCTTATTCTATGCAACAATAACGAACCATTTCTCGATCGGATTGTGATGTGTGACAAAAAGTAGATTTTATACAACAACCAACAATGGCCAGCTCAGTGGCTGGGCTGAGAAAAAGCTCCAAAACACTTCCCAAAGGCAAACTTGCACCAATAAAAGGTAACGGTCACTGGTGATCCACTACAGCCTTTTGCATCCCAGCAAAACCATTACATCTGAGAAGTATGCTCAGTAAATTGATGAGATGCACTGAAAACTGCAGTGCCTGCAGCCAGCATTGGTCAACAGAATGGGCCCAGTTTTTCTCCATGACAATAATCAACCACATATCACACAACCAGCGCTCCAAAAGTTGAACAAATTTGGCAACGCTATAGTCACCTGACAGTTTGCCAAGTGACTACCACTTCTTCAAGCATCTCAATAACTTTTTGCAGGGAAAATGCTTCCACAACCAGCAGGAGGCAGAAGATGCTTTCCAAGAGTTCGTTGAATCCTGAAGCATGGATTTTTATGCTACCGGAATGAACAAACATATTTCTCACTGACAAAAATGTGCTGATTGTAATGGTTCCTACTTTGATTAGTAAAGATGTGTTTGAGCCTAGTTACAATGATTGAAAATTCACAGTCCAAGACTGCAATTACTTTTTCACCCACCTAGTAACACCCAATTATATGTGAAATTGCACAGTTGAGTGTACACATGAGAGTCATATCTTCCAATGAACCAGCACGAGAACAAAGTCCAGGCAACTACTGATTTCTACGACACCTGTAATGGGGAAGCCTGATATCTCGGTCACGATGCAAAACTGTCCAGATTTCAGGCCTCTCTTTTCCACACGACTTCCTGTTACATTTCTCCTTCCTACTACTTCTATTGCTGTTCCTTCTCCTAATTTCCTCCTCCTTTGGAAAGCAGGAAATCAGTACAACACCAGTACTTAGGGTTTACCAGGTTCTAAAGCCAGCATGGAATTTTAGGAGCAAAGCTTGACAGCAGCAGCAGAAAGACAAAAGCAGAGGTAAGAAATCTGACTAGAAGCACTTGATATGCCAGAAGACTCTCCCTGCCAGGGAAACAAGGCCCCCTGGCCCCTGCATTGCTGGCAGGTTGATGTGTTGGGTTATCCTGGCCTGGAAACTTCCACTCAGATCATCTCTCTTGGTTTCATCATCCTCCAGGGTGAGTCCAGAAGAGACACTCCTCTGGTTGGTTGGACATCACATATTAATAGCTTTAATATCATAATCAATTACTTATGCTTCATATTTGTTTCTCTACCAGGCCTTATGCTTTATATTGCTATGAATTTCCTGAATCTGATGGTTGTCTGACCATTCGACAATGATTCTTTCCCTATTTTCTCTACTTCAGATTTTCTATTTTCTATCAGAAAATAGAAAAATAGTTTCTAATTATAATTAGTCTAATTAGAAAAAATTTCTCTAATAGAAAAATATTTTCTATCTCTCTGTTTCAGATCTTCCACGTGCTCTCTACTTGGACTCTCTGTCCCTAGTCTTGGTCTTCCAGAAGTCTCTGAATTTTCCTCCTTCTAGTTTGCTTCCTTGGTCTCAGAACTGTTGCCCCACCCTGATTCTTCCATTATATTCACCACCTCTTTCTTTAATCCTGATTTTTTTTTTCTTTTTCTTTTTTCTTTACCCTGTTCCTTAACTTGCCGTCACTCACCAGTCAGCATTTAACAGACAGGGCAACCAACTCCATGTAAAACAAGACTAAACATAGTTTACCTTTGACCTTGTTCACACTTCCCATCCTATAACCTTTACCCATACCCTCCACACCTAACCGTGGCTCAAGGTTTGGTCAAACTGGAACTCAAACCTTGGCAGCCCAATTCTGAACCTCATGCGCTCTCCATGAACCATGGGACACAATCAGTCCTGATCATGGCAGGCCTCTGCACTGCTCACATCATTCCACTACTGCTTTGAAACCTGCCTCAAAGGTTGAGCACTCATTGTAGACAGTGACACCATGATTATTCCAAAGACTCCAGTTCCATGTATTACAGGCACCACATTCAATATGTTAAATTGATTATCTCAGTTCGTCTTCTCAACACCCTGTGAGAGATTCAGAATCAGTAACATGCCATAGCCATGCAGTTAATATGTGAACAACTCAAGATTTAATCCAAGTCTGGTCTGATCATAAGACCAGGATTTTAATTACTCTGGATGATTCATTTTTGGCTTCTAAAGAATTGACAGATCCAGCTAGATTCACGAGTGATACAAATATCTAATGATACCAGGAAAAGTCACTCCATCTAAGTGGAGAAATAAAACAGGTAATAACTCCTCTTCTCAGCACAAAGGACACAAGAAGAAAAATGAGAAAGTTCTCCAAAAAGCAAATTTCAATGTACTGTGATGAACCTCTTGAGAAATGATTTACACCGTACATAAGACAGTTTTTTCTCTTTTGGAGCTATATTTTGGGGAAATAATTGCTAATCTTTTCATTCTTGCTATTAAAATATTTTCCTCACATTCAGAAAAATAGCATTATCATTGTAGAAGGGATGGTCAGACATTTTATTTTTAACTGGAACCAGAATACTATGATTTTGACTAGTTATACAAGTTTTAAAATCTGAGAACCTCATTAGAGCCAAGTTAATATGCGGGCTTTTAGTGAATGGATACTCTGCCTGTTTATATTTTTCTTGACACAATTCCAAGAGTGCTAGACTCCAACAATCACGGAGAACTCTACTCTCCGTTTGCTTTGAAGAGCGGAGTAACTCATGCAGTGCTGATAAATTCTCTGCTTTACACCAAAATATAGCTGATTCACAATATTAGTTTCAGGCATACAGCAAAGTGATTCAGTTACACATACACATATATAATGGACATGTTCAATTATGTACGTATTCTTGACATTTTTGTATTGCCTCAAAGACAAAACCACCATCGTCTTAGAGCTCTGAAGCATCCTTCTATCAGATCATCTATCAGATGCTCTCTGGAGC